CATGCTGGCCCACCTGTCAGCTACCTTCAGTCTATCATCAGCTACCTCTGTACAGAATATACTAGTCCTTGCACTTGGCGTCTCGCTTCTTCTCTTCCAACACGGAACCTGGCCTGAAGATCGCATCGGCAGCAAGGGTTCTCCCTATTAATTTAAGCCACTGCGATAAGGTCGACGGGTGTGTGCAGGGCGAGAAACGGAACGGGTGACTAATTAGCTAGTGTGTCCATACCCCTTCGAGTTATCTAGTCGTCGTCTTGCAATTGGAGCATAAAGAAAGACAGCAAGGTCGACACCCCCTAACCCTCCCCCATTACAACTCAATTCATGCATTTTATATCCGTCCTCCTGAACTATTCCGGCGTCGGATCATCAAAAAGTATTGACCGAAACTACATAATTGGATATAGAAAACGCTACTTAAGTAGCATAGTAATCTTTATTAGCAGGACGCACAACCCTGGGTGAGCAGAATACAGACTTCTGGTTGAGCACATTTCTGTGTACACAACAATTGGCAAGAACTTTCTCCAGTGGAACCACGGTTAACGAATTTAATCCGCTCCGGCATCGAGCTCGTCGTGTGAAACACTCGTTTTGCCAAACGTAGCCAATCAAACTACATCAGTTCACTGATTAGCTGCAGGTAACCGAGGACCCACGCCCAGGCACACACAGGCACGAGCACGCACGCACTGATAACTCGCTAACGGAGCGGAAGCTCGTCAAGCGGAACATATGGTCTGCTAGTGGCTCGCATTTTACCTGAAATGCTCGTAGATGGGGCTGATCGTCACACGAGGCTCCACGGTATTCAAGTTGTGTTGAGCTTTTTCCCCATGTATTTTTGTGTTTACATAAATTCCGTCACATTTCCTAAATGGACTGCACGAAAATTTCCCTTTACAATGTAATGTTGCTGGATGCAACACAGTTCTCAAAACTGGAAAGTAAAATGAACGTTTCGGTTTTTAAGAAGAACCTGCAAATTCTTGCATATTTTTAGCATAACCCGTGGCTTCACTTGTGTCCTAGGTTTCCAAGTTGCATACGGCCTCCAAAAGCAACTTCATTCCACTCATCGTAAAACAATCTAATAGGTAGGTCCCATGTTGCACACAGCAGTGACGGTAAAAAGTAATCTGTGGATGCATGAATGACCCTGTGAGCTTTCCGAAACTTCCCATAGTAAAAGAGGATATGATTTCTGCCAAAATAAGATTGGAAAAAGAAGATTTGGGAACATATGACTAAACATATACAGACAACAAAATTAATAGAAAACCATTACACAAATTAAGAGGAGATTTTTTCGGCTGTTTGGCAAGGTGCCCACATTACAGCTAACACCTCACCACGTGCCCAGTAACTTGGGGCTGTGTTTCATGCTAATCAGTACCGCTACCTCACCCAATTAATAAAAGATTTAAAACAGACATGTTTAAGGAGTTCAGGCAATGGTGAATGAAATACGGTTTATACTGAGCATTCGGTGCGATGAAGAGAGTTGACTGTCCAAAATGCATGAAAAAAAAAGAGGGGACGGGGGGAGGGGAGCGAAACAGAAAGCAAAAATTGCGGGATTAAGTGACAGACATACGTTTGTGTACGACCTTCATGTGTACTCGTGAGCTCGATCTGTTGGGAAAGGCGGCGGAACATTGTTTGCAGGCATACGAATTTCCGCCTAGGATGACAAAAACAAAATAGGGATGATGAGATAGGATTAGGAGCAGTGGCCAGAAAAAAAAGACGTAGGGTGGTGCAAGGCACGGCAAACGGTTATCCAAAAATCAATTTAGATGTCAAGATCGCAGGTAGCTGTGAGGAAAGGAAAGGTAGTTACCACCAAAAAATTAACAATCATCAAACACGCATTAAAAAGAAACTACGAGTTTGATTTTGTCGAAAACGACATGAAATTCGGTTCTGAAATAACCATAGAAAGAAGTACACAATTAGGCATGATGTGGACCGCAAACCTTGTACCTTCATGATGCTGGGGTGCTGGCTGAGCAATCGGTTCCTTGGACTTAGATTCTCCAATGGAATTGGTGTCCCGATCTGAAAGGAAACGTGGAGAGAAAAGAGCAGTTAGTCTAGGCCCGAAATATCTGTCCAGGGGAATACTGTTAAAACATGTTTGTTATATGTATATAAGATCGTGATTCGGTGGAGAACGATCGACTACTTGGATATAAACTATTGCTCCTCAGAGGGGCAGGAATTTGAGGGTTTAGCAATCCAAATAAGTATGGTAATTTTGTTGAACCGTAGCCAAAATTTGAATTTTCTCAACAAGCCTCGACCGCAGAAACTCCGCGTAAATGCAGATGTCTACTAACGGCAAGCAGAAATACTTATGCAAAATACACTGAAAAAAAAGAATTTATTCTAGAGGCACTCGCCAGGGTCGAGGTGCCACTTGTCGGCATTTCTAGCAAACAACTATGTATTTTACGGTCCTAGTGCACGTTTATATGTGGTTTTGGTTGCCATGCTAGTGGTTAAAACCAACATATGTGTTTCCCACGAATGTGAATGCGAAGATCACAGCCGCAGGAAAACGTGTCGCCACACTCGGAGCAGGAAAAGGCCTTGACTTCTGTGTAAAGCGAAAAATTTCGTCTACACATGTTATAAGCAATGTGCGAGGAAAAATCTTCGTGGAAAACGCACACAGAAATACTAATCAAGTGGCAGGGTGTCTGCTCAACCTGCCATCCTAGCCAAATAGTATAATCCTTCAAAGAATGTTCGCTAGGACTGTCTTTAGGTCTCATTTGCCTTTTAATTGTAATAATAAACTACTTTGTTTACATTTTCAGTGGCCCGACCTCTTTTTTGTTAAATTCCGCCAATATAGGGTCAAATTTCCACCAATAGGCATTAGTTGCCTGAGCAACAGTAGTT